CTTCAACCTACCATATGACTCCATCCAACCACCACCATCCAACAAACTCTGCACGCTGGAGCAATACTGCAGGCAATTAAACCTGCAGATGATATTGGGGATGGATGCAAATGCACACCACACTGTGTAGGGTAGCAGTGACGTCAACATAAGAGGTATAGCTATTAGACTATAATTTCAAAAAATTTGGAAATTCTCAATAGGGGTAATGAACCTACTTCTGTTACAAGAATTCGTAAAGAGGTTCTAGATATTACTTTGGCCTCTCCCCGTATAAGATCCCAGATAACCTCTTGGAGCGTGTCAGGAGAATCGTCCCTGTCTGATCACAGACATATCTGCACAAGATGAGATACCAGCAGCGCACTTTCGTGATCCGAGGACGAACTGGCAGGGATATGTGGAAGGTCTACTTAGATACTGCAGCCAGGTCAAAACTGATATTAAAAACGTCACTGATATAGAATTGGCAGCTATTTAACTATAGGAGGCTATAATAACCTCTTATCAGAAAAACTGTCCCCTGATAAAGCAAAACTCTAGAAAAATACCAACTTTTTGTTGGCCCGCACAACTAGGATGGAAGCTTAGATTACAGACTTCACAATCTTATGAAAATTTCACAGATGTTTTGCAATGTTGGCATATTTTTTCGTTTTCTTTAGGAGTTTGATTTTTCACGTTGTTTCTGTTCAACATAACCTCACTAACATGATGATGTAGTAACCATAGTCATGGGGAAAAATTTACAAACTATTTCTGCGAAAATGCAAAGAGCGCTTAAAATCGTGGAAGACTGGGTCAAAGGGGCAAACCTGGGAAAACAGCTATAATCCCCTTCACGGTCAGAAGAAAACTGCACGATCTAGTCCGCCCCACTTTCTTCGGAAAGCAAATAGAATTCGTCTGAGAACTCAAATACTTAGGAATTATCCTGGATGCAAAACTCACCTGGAACGCGCATATTGAATACGTCACCATTAAAGGTTAGATGGCGCTTATGGCCACCAAAAGAGCAGTGCGAAAAACATGGGGATTTCTACACCACATAGTACCTATATTGGATCTCTACAGTAGTGGTAACCCACGAATCAATAGTCTGGTGGCAAAAAGTCGAACAGAGCAAAGCAATAATGGAACTATCCAAACTTCAAAGACTGGCTCAGGGGCGTGCCGAGTTTCATGGGGGCCCTCCTGCGAGATTTTCCTTAGGCCCCGAACAGTTTCAGTAAAAATAAAAGTAAACAAAAAATATTATAAAAAAATTTATTAAAGATCATATCATGAAATAAAAAATAAGTACTACTCTAGTGAAAAAAAAACAGACATAAAAACTATAGAAAAAATTGTGAAAATAAAAAAATAATAACCAAACTCTGGTTCAAGCAAAACTAAAACTAAAAAATAATAGAGAAAAGTGTAATGAGATCATCTAATTACTTTGGTGGTAGAGACTAGCATTTTTTGTGTCGACTAGTAGAACGACTGGATAAATAATGATCAACTATATAGTTCATCAATATTTACATCTTTAGCTCTTTCGTGCTCTATTGAGATAAGAGCTATAGAACTTAGATGAGTTTGAGACATGCTCGACCTAAGGACATTTTTATCAAAATTATGGTGCGTTGGAGTCTGTGGTGGAGTAAAAATTAAATAATTTTATATAAAGTTATGTTTTGAGATTTTACGCTAAATTATCACTTCTCATTTCCAATGCATCCGATGGTTGCAAAAATTGAGAAATCTTCGATGTTTTTGAAGATTTTCTTTAACTGACACTCGAACTGACATAAGTGGGTAAATATTTTGTGTGAGAAGAATACCTTCTTTAATTTGGGGGCCCCAAATATCCCGGGGCCCTCCCGCACCGCGGGCCCTGCGGGCTCGTCAGGCACGCCACTGGACTGGCTTGTCTCTGCATAATGGATACAATGAGAAGCACTCCAACTATGGAAACCATACTAAACCTCCCGCCACTTGGTATCATTATCAAAGTTGAAGGAAGAATGGGGGCTTGCCTACCAGGGCCGCCTCCAGACATTTCGGCGCCCCATGCAAAAGGTATTTTTGCCGCCCCTCTTAGGTACCGATTACTTTCCTACGTTATAGTTCCAGTACTACTCTCGGTACTACCTATTTGCTAAACTTACTTTTGATTTTTATTTTGTTCAGTGTCCTTATATGATATCGGAGCTTTTTCTAGTACAGACAAAATCTACTCGGGTACCATGGTACTTTGCTCAAAATGTACTCGAGTACAGAGTACAATCAGAAGTATTCAATACCCAAGTACTCAAAGTACCGAGTACATTTATGAATATATTCCACACAATGCCACCGAATATCAAATGACGCCTTAAAGTTGTTACGCACCTCCAATTCTGAACCACCCTTGATTATTGATATGAAAGTCTAATACCACCTTAGGCCGCAAGCGCTGATGTTACTGCGCACTAATCACTGCGCATGGGTTATTACGTCACATCCCCTTTCACACTCCGTTCCATTTCCCAGAATTTACCCTCAAACCGCCGGTATAGATGTTCACACATCAAAAATTGAAAAACACATTTTGGTTTACTATAAATCAATTCAGCAATTTTACGGTTTCGTTGGGTTAACCAGAATAAGGGCTCAGATTTTTTAAATTTACGTTCTCAGGCACATCGTTATAGTGCACAGAAAAGTTCAAGATTTTCGTTTGCAAATCACAACGAATAACGGAACGAATGCTACGCATCCGTACGCTACACAAGAAATGTCAGAAAATTGAAGCCACAGATTTCACAGAAATCACAAATCAGTTAGAGCGTTTTTGATTAGTGCAAATCTCCAACAACCAGTTTTTTTGACTGGCAAGGTAAGTGATTTCTGTGGAAACAGGTCTCGTCTGGAAATGTTCCTATGGCCAAATAAATGTACTTAGATTCCAATAATTTTACGCAGTAACTGCAAATGTATTCGAAAACAATGAAAATACTCTGGTATATGTATTCGAGTATAAATGGATGTACTCGGGTATTTTGAAATTTACTCAGTACAATAAAATGTAGCGGGTATTTTTTATATTCTTAAACAGTTCAAGTAGAAATTAGGTACAATTACATGATTCACAAAGTATCGTGGCCTGAATACCGAGTAACTCAAAATGTACTTAGAGTAAAAGTGAAGAGTACTTTTACCTTTACCCGAGTACCGCACAAGTCTGTATGATATATATTATATTTTGATTATTTTTAAGTTTTTAATGGAATAATTTTATTACTATACCTACTATTTTAATGCAACCTACAATTATCGGCAATTCTCAAATAACAATTAGGTTTCTTTGGACTTAGTTCAGAATCAGTTCTGAATTGAGCTGCGCATGCGCATTTGTTTATTTATTTTCGATATGAACAAATGCGCAAGCGCAGTTCAATTCAGAACTGATTCTGAACTAAGTCCGAACAAACCTAATACTTAACACCAAAATATAACCTGCAAATCGCTTGCGGACGCGTGAAACTACTAGCGATAGGTGTTTTCGGGTTCTCATCATGGAACTGCGCAGAACAAGTTGCGTACTTATTCAGTCATTAGAACTGTGCTCAGATCAGTTGGAAATAATCAGAGTTCAAAAAACGAACATGTTATGTTTCATTTAATTTTTTTACAGGGCAGGCAACAATTTTCCCCGAGATTTTTGCCGCCCTTCGATTTTGCCGCCCCGTGCAGGGGCACAGGCTGCACGGGTCCTGGAGCCGGCCCTGTTGCCTACAGACCCAATTGTAGTAAGAACTGGAATCCGAGTAGAACATCCAGACATACCAGGATATCAAACATTGTTACAAACCCACTATTTGAGATGAGAAGTAACATCATGACCCTGAGAATAAATACTCACAAACTCTTTCAAACCCAGATTAACTGGGAAAACAAAGCAGAAAACTCACTAGTTGAGAATGGAAAGTTAGTATGGTATGGTAGACTGATGACTTCAAAACCGACAGTGGAACCGGTGCCGGCCGGAGTATATGGCCTATCCCTAAGATCAAAATGGTATTCTCCACTGAGGAAGCACACCACCGTATTCCAAACCGAAATACATGTAATAGAGATATGCCTCGGGGAACCTCTGAGAAAGGGATATGTGCATAAGGATATAACGACCTTCTCAGACAGTCAAGCAACTATTGAAGCTCTCGCATGCCAACGGATAATCTCTAAATTAGTGTGAGACTGCCTGCAACTCCTTTTAACCATAGCCAGCCATAACAAAGTAACTCTTGCGTGGGTGCCGGGGCAGGCAAGAATCAAAAAGGCAGTTTATGGGACCTGAACCTGTATTCGGAATATTAAAAATCTTGATACGTGGTTGTTTGGACCAGTGGATCAGAGAGGAACACCTAAACCACTGGCATCAAATACCGAGGCCACACCACAGTAAGGCAATGATGAACTATCCTACGACAAGAGTAGCCTCTGAGATCCTAAAGCTCATGAGGAACCAGATCAGAATTGTGACGGGACTCTTAACCGGTTACTGTACACTGAGGAAACACCTACACAAGATGGGAATCTACTAAGATGAACCCATCTGTAGATTGTGCGACGAGGACGAAGAAGCAGCCTCTCACATCCTATTGAAGTGCCCTACACTCGCTTACTGGAGAACCTGACACCTCTTGGAGGAGGAATCTGTTCAGGAGGAGGGTCCCCTGAAGTCGCCAATAAAGAGGCTACTGTACCTGGCGATGGTGTCAAACCTATTTTAGCAGAAACTCACACAGCAAGGGATATAATAAGCAACTAGCTGCAGGGTCAGGAAATCACTAAACCTTGCCTTGCTGCCGCTGATCAAATCAATCAATGTAGAAGCATTCTTTGACTATCAACTTCCTGAGATAACAAGTTCAATTTCACTTTTTCGATACCTGTATATACCTTTCAACAGTTTCAATAAAACACCCGTTGACTCTAAATAATGACTGACATTTCATAAATATTTTTGATAGTTTTTTGACTTTTTTTCACAATCGTTGCACGAAAAAACAATGAATTCCGACTTGGACGACGTGTTTCGTTGGATAGACGATCACGAAATCAGCCGGCAAAAGAAAAATTTACACAGAGACTTTGCCGACGCAGTACCACTGGCGGAAATTCTCAAGAAACACTATCCGAAACTTGTGCAGCTGCACAATTACAGTTCGGGAAGCGCTCTGGCACAGAAAATCATCAACTGGGAAACTTTAAATAGAAAGGTAACAAATTATTTAAACTATTTAAGAATTCATTAGAAAATTTTATAGGTTTTAAACAAACTGAAAATAAACCTAACCTATGCCGAGCAAGAGCAACTAGCAAAAGCAGTACCAGGAGCTGTAGAACGATTGTTGCACAAAATCAAACAAAAAGTAGAAAAACAAACTAAAGAAAAAGCTGAAGAAAATGACGAACAAGTTTATTTTTTGGAAGGCGTCACGAATTCGGAATCGCTAGAAGGAGTTCTCGATATAAAAATTAAAGCTGGCTCGAGAACTTCTAGCCAAAAAATGCTACCTGCTGAAATTTATCAAAAAATGGAATTAGATTTGGCCCAAAAAGATGAGGAAATCAATAGCCTAGTGCAACAAGTGAGTTTTTAAAACTTGCAATCGCTGTCTTACATATTTTTTTCAGGTAACTCATTTGACTAATCTACTAAAACTGAAAGAAGACCGCATAATAGATTTGACCAATCAGCTTCAGTCCATGGCAAACGGCGACGGTGACCGTGCTTCACCAAGAACAAGATTTTTCGGCAAAATTTTCTAAATTTATCAAATATACATTATATATTTTTAATTTTTCTTATTACCATGCATAAAAAAAAAGAACACACAAGTATCATAAATATTGAACGGATTAGTCGATTAGATAAACTGGGCTCAAAACGGTAGCATTATTATATGGACCGAGGCTTAGGTTAATGTGATACACGTCAAATCTTCTTTTCAATATTGGCAAACGGTATTATTATTATAGATTTCTGATAAGGATTTATTTATTTTAATACCTAGAGGGGTTTTTGGTGCCACAGTATCTCATATTTATTTTATGTGTTGATGATGGTTACCTTATCGGTTGTTTGGAAGTTATCTGATCGTTAGTGGATAGATTAGGCGAATGTGTTGTTTTAGTCCAGTTACATTTTGAGCAAAGAAGATACTGGAACAGTTTAATGAAATTTGCTCTCATCAGAAAAAAAAATGATTCTGCCTTATCGATAGACATACTTTCTCTGCCACTATCTTTTTAAGCTCAGCAGCAGAAAAAGAAATAGCTTATCTTCAATGATGGAGCGTAATGTTCAGAAAGGTATTCTTAGTTATCTCCATAGAAAATCCTTCGGGTTGCAAATCATTCTGCATAGAAGCTGCATCTATAAATCATCGTCTGTAGATCAAATTTATATTCCTAACCATCGTTTATGTCACCTTTTAACATATTATCTGCAATATTCAAAATCAAATGCAATAATCTGTATCTTCCTAGAAAGACAAACTTAATAGATCGATAAAATAATAAAAATGAAGAAAAACAGAAGCATGAATGAAATGTCTGGAAGAAATTGCAAATGAAGATCTTGATCATTATGGGACCCAAAAGTTGCCGAAGATATCTCAACAACCATTTGATCGGTAGAGAAAATGAGAAGACACAGAAAAGGTCTCTTGGCAATTTTACGTCCAACGCCTCCTAAAGAAGTTTCAGAAGAAAATCCACTTCTTTTTACTGGAATTCCCCAAAATTGGAAGTTGACTTTCTTTGAATTTCGAAGAAACAAAATGTTCTCTCCGGTAGAGAAAGCAAAAAAGCAATTTTTCATCCAACGCCTCCTAAAGAAGTTCCAGAAGAAAATCCACTCCGAAATTCGCAAAAACAAAATATTCTATCCGGTAGAGAATTCAAAACGAAACCGAAAATGTCTTGTGGCAATTTTACGTCCAAGGCTTCCTAAGACTAGAAAAAATTCCAGAAGAAAATTTTTACTGGAGATTCCCCAAAATTGGAAGTTCAAAATATTCTATCCGGTAGAGAATTCGAAAAGAAACCCAAAAGGTCTCTTGGCAATTTTACGTCCAAGGCTTCCTAAGGCTAGAAAAAATTCCAGAAGAAAATGTTTACTAGGGATTTGGGATTTTCCAAAATTGGAAGTTGACTTTTTTCGAATTTTGAAATAACAAAATACCCTATCCGGTAGAAATAGTGAAGAGAGAGATTCTCGTCTCTCGATTGTCTCATCTCGTCTCGACGAGAGACCGATTTTCTCTCAAAAAGTTATTTGGAGACGTCACTTTCTCTTGTCGAGAATTTCTCGAGTTTTCTCGAGCTTTGAGCTTTCTCACTCGAGAATTATGAATTTATTGTGATATTGCTTTTATAAAATGTTTGAAATAGGTAGTTCTTCATAAACCATTATTATGATGTATAAGCGTTGAAAAACACGAGAGACGAGAGAAAACGCGACAAGACAAGAGAAGAGCTCTCTCGTCTCGTATCGAGATCTCTCGACGAGACGAGAGACTCATTTTCTCTCGAACCTTCGAGACAAGACGAGAGAGACTATTCTTTTCTTATCTCGCAGTTTCACTAATTTAATGTATTATAAACGATATCTCGAGTTCCTGTGAAAAAGATTTCAATCATTAAAGTCTATAAGAAACGTGAGAAATGATTCGTCTGGAAATATAGTATTGAAGTTATTGACGAAAAACCAAAAAAAGATAATAATTCTAAATGTATAACTTTGCTATTTTTTCGTGCCTTTTCAAATTTTAACACCTCATTATACTTGGCTCTGAAATGTCAAAATTATTAATATAGGTATCTGGACGTGTTTGTTCCCCCCTGATAAATCAATCAACCCAGTTTAAATAAACATTCATTTGGGAGACTGGTAGACGCATTGGTAGATTAGTATTTGTCAAATGCGATAAAGATATTTCGATAAAATTTGACAAAAAAAACAAGTTTTTGACTCGATTTTTGCATACAATAATTTTAAACGATAAATTACACAATTTTGTTACATAAGAATCTCATTGCTGTAACTATTTACACAAATTATTGTGTAATACTTTATGTTTTCAAGTGCAAAATCGATCAATTAACAATCGAAATAGGTAGTCAATTATTTTGTAGTTAGTCAATCTTTTATTTTTATGAGAAATGCGTTGACAATTCTTAGTATTTTGCCCATACATATTAAATTAGTAATAGTAATAACATCTATGCAATGTATGATGAGCTTTTCATTTAATTTTGATGTAAATATCACGAAACTTTTACTGTATTTGCTTTTAAAAAACAACAACGTAAAAAGTCAGCTTATTAATTTGCGTGACCCTGTCAGTCTTTATTAGCTTAAAACGCATACAGGGGCAAAGCACTGAGTTTTATGTGGCGTGCCTTATTATGTAAGGTGTAGTGGCTTTACTTTATAAATCTACAACAAAATCGTCAATGAATTACATTTTCTTCACTCCAACCAACACTCGATAACGATTTTTCTATAAAATTTTGTTTATTTATCGTATTTACCTTTTTGTCGACAAACATTTTTTAAGTAAACATCTTTGTTCTTACATCCTCAACGATAATACCTAAACATGTGTTTTCTGTATTTATCTTTTTGATTTTAAATATTGGTTTTGCCGTCGATATCGACTTGTCAACTCAACGGTGAAAGTGATAACGAAGATTTGACATTAAAAAAAATTTATATTAAAAAAGAAAATATAAGCTCTATACACACACACATACATACATACATACAATAAAAAGGTTTTTCTCGAAAGCTTTTAGTCGCACGCGCTTATCGCTTCGCATGGATCTCGAGACACACGTCCAGATCCGATCAAAAGTGGCCTTTCAAATTTGACATTACCCACCGCATAGTAATGCAAGGTTGCCAATATACCAAGAATAAAAATACAATACAATAAACTCACCAGTTGGTTTAGGTATATTCCGTTTCACTTGCATCCACTTATAAGTTGGTAAAACCGGATGTTGAGGCTGATTACTGCCGTGCATACCATGGTGCTGCCGCATCCTACCATCGCCACTCAATATTTCTTCTTTATATCTGAATTAATAATTACACATTTAAAAACAATTATTTGATAACGACAAACCCTTAAGTACCTTGTCTGAAGTTGTTGTTGAAACTCCATACAAGCAACATTTCCTTGTCCATGCGAAACGATATGTGGATGATGATGGTACCCGGCCTCGTCCAACTGATGAGGATGATACTTTGAGTCGTAAAGATACGGATAGGTGGCCTCACTGGATTCGTCGTGATGCCTCAACAGTCCCGGATACGAATCTTCGCTGTATCCAGGCTGGTGGTACATTGGACTATTTGAGTTGGCATAGGTGTCCAAGTTGGTGTAACTCAGACCGGTTTCCGTGTTGATTATCGAACTATCCGGAGGATTGGATTGGTGAGGGTAGAAATGGGGCTCTTGGGGCGAAGGAGGTGTTTCGACTCCTGAATCGTTTGAGGCACCGCTTACACCTGAAAAAAGTTTTGCGTCTTTGAGCGGCATTTGTTGTTGATGACATTGGATGATGAATTGTAAGTAAATATTTATCTTGATAATATGTTTTAAAATTTGGAGAGGTTAAGCTCATTTGCGATAGCTTAAAAGACTGCTGATAAAGACATTATACTTCTCATGTATGTATGTATGTATGTATGTGTTGGAGGTGTCAGTTGCACTGCGACCAAGGTTGAGCTATTGTACCCCTCCTTCTGCTGCTAAGTTCGAGTTGTCAGCTCAAAGCAGCTCCTCCATCCATCCTAAGTCCTAAGGAATTTCAGGATATCTAGCGGTTCCAGGGCTGGAATGTCTTTCAACTGTATAAGGGGCATTCCTAGGTTCTTCATTCGTGAGCGACTAACGGCATCATAGTTCAGTAGAAAATGGTAAGGTGTCTCTTATCCATCTTCACAGAATCTGCAGGTGGCACCTTTTTCCAACCCCAATTTCTGTCGGTGTTTCTTAAGTCTCCAATGTCCCGAGAGAAGCCCGGTTAGAGTCTTGAGACTCTCGTTGCTAAGGTTCACAAGCAGTATTGATCTTTTTTGGTTGAAGTTAACAAAAGATCTTTGGCCTGTCGTAGTCCTTACTGTGCTAGCCATTGTTTCTTAGCAAGTTCTCTTCGTTTTTGAGGATTTCTTGGAGGTGCGCAATCCCGACACCGCAAAATGGTTCTGGCTCGGTGAAGGGACTAGATGCTCCAATTGCGAGACTGTCTCCGCATTCGTTGCTTTCGACCCCTATGTGTCCATGCAGTCAGAGGAGGGTTACTTTGTTTTCTTCTCCCAGCTCATTGAGTTTCTGTAGATGCCTCCATACTATTTTAGAATTGATGACCGGGGAACTCAATGCTTTGATAGTTGCTTGGCTGTCAGACAGTATTACAATTTCTCGTTTTCGATAACTTCTGTTCAGGTTGAGCTGCACGCATCTTCCGATCCCATGAAGTTCCACTTGAAGTATGCTTGGTGATTTTCTTATTGGCTCCCAGTATCTGGGTCTGTGGCCCGAATACTCCGGCTACAGTTCCCTCTCTGTGTACCATTTGATGATGTTTGCTTTAAGGTATTGGATAGATTTTATGTTCCATCTGTTTGTTGTACTTAGTTCAATGGAAAAGTTTTTCTCGAAACTGAATTTATCAACAATCACGTCTTTTGGTAGATCCATGAGGTGTGCACAATTTGGGAGAGGGGAAAGTTCTGCCGTGCGTTTTCCATTGTGAACCTATATTTTTTCCAGTCTGAGACATGATCCACTGGCAACCCGCTTATTCACTATTATTTGGAGTGGTATATGAGGTCCAGGATGACTTCCAGTGTCGCGGTTGGGCATAATCTCATTGCGCCTGTTATACATAGATACGCGAGTCTTTGTACTTTTCCTAGGGTTTTCCTAGCTATTACTAGCTGGGTTCGACTATAATAGGCTCCGTAGGTGGTGATAGGTCTCACTATCATGGTAGGCGTAGGATTGATGGGCTATAACCCCACGTTTTACCCGCAATGTATTTGCAGACCATCAGTGCCGAGATTGCTTTGTTTTTTGGTTTCTCTACATGTGGATTCAAGAGAAGTTTAGAATCTAGGGTTATGGATTTCTAGGAATTCAAATTTTGTTACCAGTAAAGCCCGTTTCCAATTCGATTGAGGCGAATGTTTCCCAGGTTTGGGGGTCTGACACAATTTCTTTGTAGTTTGGAGTGCTTTTTCTATAAGTTCGCAGATTATTCCTTCATATTTGCCTCTGGCTATTATTGATAACAATATCATCGGCGTATCTAAAGCAGGTGAAGCCCTGATCGGCAGTGTATTTAGGAGATCATCAACCACTAGACTCCACATCAAAGGTGGAAGTACTTTTTCTTGTGGTGACTTGTACGGCCTGTTCACCCACGTCAGTTTTTGCAGTTCTGGTGACTAGCGTTTCGCACATCCAGATGGATGTGGTTTTGTCCACTCCTTTTTTGAATACTTGTCATAGATAGGTATATTGAGTTATTTTTTAGAGTGTGCTCTCTAAACGAACTTGAAGTTTCCGATTCCTTGGGGTCTCTACAAAGTAAATCAATGTTGCTTGTTGTTGTTTTACAAATTTGCCTTTCTATATCATTTGTATGATAGTTTGACGAAGAAGCTCTTAGATCAATCCTCATCGATTCTTTTTCATCTGGTTACCAATTCTTGACCTTAGTATATACTTGACCTTAGTACATACAAGTTGTTATTATAATTCAGATACAAGCAAGGTGCAGATTGAAGGTAAGTTGAACGTAAAAGAACAAATTGAGAGGAAAAAACAAAAGCAACAAAGTCTGGACCAAAAAATTCAAGAAAACCGAAAAACTGTATGTTAAGTTTGTGAATTTAGACAAGCATAAATGGGACGCAGAAAATGACCACTGTGACTTCAGACTGAGAAAACCAACACACATAAAAGGGTTGCCAAAAAAAAATTCAAAGACGCCGCATATGTTGAGCTCCTTCCTATTGATTTGAAGGTTGTCAAATGCCATACCATAGAAGGCGAATAATGATTCTTCTTTAGGTCCCTTCTTGGATGTTCCTCAACATCAATAACGATGCCTTTTGCTTAGCTGGTTGCAGATTGCAGATGCAGAACAAAACAAATTATTTAGTACCTTATTGTTAAATTTTATTTCCGGAAGATTCTTTTTCTTCTTTGGGAATCTTTTTTATCTTATTATCCATTAGAAACAGTGTTGCAACAATCGATATTTGATTGAATTCCTTATGATAATTTATAATGGAAATATACTGCGGAGAGAAGTTGATTTTTCTAAGGAGTATATATCGTTATATTATGGAATAAGCAAGAAATTATAGGAATTTTCCCATTTTGAAGCTCATTACGCGTATTTAGTATTTGTCTCTATATTCCCTGCAAACTGGTCTGTTCTGAGAATCATAATTTGTAAATTTGTACATAATATGTCCATGCATATCATTTCATTAGGGAAGAATGAGTGCCCACCTTTCTGCCACTGAATACTGAAGAAGAAAGAGAAGAAGAAAAGAAAGAAAAGAGTAGGTATATCGACTTTTTATCGTCCTTAACTTGAGCGCGATAAACTTTAAAAGTTGAAAAATATCCCTTAACAAACTGTATAAACATTTCCTTTTGAGCGACCCTAGGGTTTTGCATATACTTAGATATTGATAATAAAATTTCAAATGTTGGATCAGAAGAGATCCCTGCGAGCGGTTTTTCATCTAACAAAATTTGTACCCTGATTAACAGTATTAACTAATGTTTCCATGTATTGACAGATATTTCTATGTAATACAAACCATGCTATTGATAGACTTAAATCAAATATTTGTCTCGCCAGAATTCTAGGTATTGACATTATCCACAGGTATTTTCCTGTTATATTAACGGGTATTAACATATATTGCCTAGATATTTACAAGTATTGACACATATTTCGTACATATTGACAAGTAGGTATTGCATAGTATTGACACTATTGACATATCTTAACGATTTGTATACCGATTAACATGATGAAAAACCCCTCAGATCACTGATATAGAAGAGGAAGCAATTGCAAAAGCGCTAAGCCAATTAAACAACGGAAAAGCTCAAGGAATAGATGATATACTACTAGAAATGCTGAAGGAGGCAGTAGAATACCTTGTAAAACACTATTCAACAAACGTTTGACACAGCGAAAAATACCACACGACCGGGAGACTGATGCTGTCGTCATTCTGATAGGTATACAAAAAAAGGAGACCCATCAAATCTTGAAAACTATAGACCTATAAGCTTCCTGTCTCAGATATACAAACTCTTTGTGAGAATATTCACCAACAGCCTAGAAAGGCAATTCGATGATTACCAACATAAAGAACAAGCAGGCTATAGAAAAAGCTACAGCAGTATAGAACATTTTCACACAATAAGAATTCTAAATGGAAAGACGACTGAATATAACATTACAACATGGTTAGCATTCATCGATTTTGGGAAAGCCTTTGACATTATTTCTGATCAGCGATATATATATACATAATCAAAAATATCCAAGAAGCAACAAAAATAAAATTAAGAATGCATGAAGATACAAACGGAGTGAAGATCAAGGCGATACAATATCACCCAAGCTGTTCACCCAGTTCTCGAAGATGTGTTCAAGGAACTAAATTGGGAAAATAGAGGCATCAATATATCTAGAGAAAACCTCAATAATTTAAGATTCGCTGATGACATCGTAATATTCGCCCCGAACGTGATAGACTCAGAAATTATGCTGAAAGAATTACTCTAAGAAGATGGGATTAGAATAATGAACACATCAAAAACAGAGTTCATGACAAAGTCAATCAAGAGTTTGAAATTAGTAGGAGAATACGACTGGAATGAGTCGCGTACCTATATGGTAAAATGCGCCACATATTCCGGTTCAAGTTACCTTTGAAGCTGAAAACTAAAGTCTACAACGAATATATTTTGCCAGTAGTTGCCTATGGAAGCGAAACATGAAATCTCACAAAGAGAATCCTAAATAAGCTGCAAGTACATCAGAGAGCAATCGAAAGGGGAATGATAGGTATTACACTAAGGGATCACAAGACCAACGATTGGATAAGAAATACAACAAAGGTCGTTGAACACAACAGAATATGCACCCTCAAATGGAACTGAACCACGTAGCGAGAAGCACAAGCAACAGAGTGGAAAAGTAACAAGATGTAGACCCTGGGGGAAAGAAGAAGCATCGGCAAACGTGGTACTCTGGTACGACGACATCAAGCGAACAGCAGGACTAAACTGGTATCAGATCGCACAGAATAGAAATAACTGGCAAAATCTGAGAGAGGCCTATATCCAGAGGATAGAAAACGGCTAAGAAGAAGAAGAAGAAAAAGAAGAAGATTGATAATAACCATAAGATTTACCTGAAGACGTGATAGCTTTGCGAGAAACATTTTAATGAAACTCACTACAGATGAGATTTTTTCATCTAAATCTCAAAACGACAGCTACTTATAACAGTATTGACTTTGAGAAAGCAATTTTCAATATCAATAGATTGTTGCTTCCATAATTTTTTAACGAACAGAAGAAACAAAAAGGAGGAAAGGATAAGTGCTAAGACATATGGGAATTGATGAAGCAAAGAAGTTTTCAAGTGGTGAGAAATTAATAAAATAATACCAATAACTCTAAAAGGAGACATGAAGAGAAACAACGAAGCAATGACAGAAAGAGTCAGAAGGTAAATGCCTCAAACCAAGACTTAGTAGGTATCAACCATGGACAGAAGAAATAGACGGATTACTTCGGTTATGGAAAGCTTCAATCTTGAACAATACAGTTTAAATCAAGATCATAACACAAATGAATAACCATCGAAAAATAAAAAAATATCAGTTCCACCGACAGGATTCCAGATATCGCAGAATTTTCAGAGTTGGTAAACACAATTAACAATCTTGAAAACAACAAATCACTGTGAGTTAGGACAAGAAAAAGTGACAGGCTGAAATGCTGGAAAAAAAATCTAGGTCGACAAGTGCGAAAATACCAGAAAAATTAAATACCCCCGTAGTACTACAGCTCTCATACCCATTCCATTCCAGGAATCAGAAATAAAGATGATATGATGATAAGATTGATATTACTGAAATATCATGTTGGCAATCCCAAAAATTTTGTTTTGTCAGTTGGTAAAAGCATGTGAATATGAATGGGACTGAAGAAAAATATGAGCAAGTGTAAAGACGAATACCTAATACCTAATGCTGGAGAAGGAATAAGAGTCATCATTGAACATCTTTCCTGGGGCAAGATCAGTAAACAAATCTACATAGATTATAGATAAATACTGAAACTTTCTAAAAGTAACAAATGACCAGAAATTGCACAATGGATAAAACTTCCTAAAGAACCAAAATATCTATTCCGCTTTACCTGAGAAGCTGACCTTTCAACTATGTAATGAGGCTTGGGCATTTACAAAGAACATTGTCGATGAACTTCCTCAGACTTAAAGGACCATAGAGCAGATAATGCTGAACATAAGACACTGGGATAAAATGAAAAACACTAGAGAGAGTACCAGGCTGGAGGACGTAACATCAAAAGTCACACATCTGAAATGAATTTTTACAGGACATCTTGTAGACTGACTTAAATCTGATAGAATGGAGCACAGATCTGCACAAACTAACTGCAGAACTGGTTCAAAAATAAGGCTTGCACAAGAGAATTGTGAGAGGTCTCCAAAAATGGATGATGTTAAAGTCTCATGAAACACTGTCTAAAGCTGTTCTTTAAAATTATCCATCAACTTGTAGCTTGTAGATTCTACAAGTTGTGCGAAAATACCCTGGAATGCACCTTATTGGCATTTGAGAATGTTGTAGTCGTAAAGAGAATCAATATTCAGCATTCAGGTCCTTTTCCCATCTGAAATGCGACATTTCCATCTCTGTTGCCTATCGAAAAGCAGTTGATTCCGTTAAAGACTGTCCAGCAAAGTTGTCGAAAATTGCATTTCTAGCTACTTTTGCTGCATTCTACATTTCGGTATAGGAATCCTTTCTCAATAATACAGAACTTGTGAATATTCTACGTTCGATAAGCATGGAATGATGATAGAATCTCCCAATCTCTATTGAAAGCGGATCAGCCAATATATGAAGGTAGAAAACGATATGTGGAAGGAAGGAAAGAATTTTCGGATTCGGGCAGATGTGTATGTTATTTCGTCCTTTTTCCAATACACAGTATGGAAAAATATTCAAGATTGAGAATATCGGAGAAGACATTTTGTTGCAGAAGGAATGAAAATCACATAGAAGATACGGGTATTGTTCTAGTAATTGTAGCTTGAAAGATCTTCAAGTTTGTATGAATAAAATAGCAACAATATAAGAGTTTGATTCTTAACAATGATCAGACCTAATATTTAGTAAGTGATAAGCGAAAACCTTACAAGGGAAGGGTTCTGCAGTTGAAATAGTAAGTTGTATTGGAAAATTATGAGTAAAGTGAGATGCAAGAGCCGAATCATTTGGAGAAAAATACAACTCTTAACGTTATACTCTGCCCAAAAAACGCTCTCTTGCTCTACTCCATCTCATGTTGAGCGTTGAGCTTCTTCTCTTCAGCTCATCTATCCATTGGGTGTGTTTTGAATAACATCAGCGTATCTAGGAGGAATAGCGAAGAGGAAAATAATAGACCACCATTATATTTAGGCATGGATATCATGTAGTTCAGTGATATCTAATGTTCTTGGTTAGTTTAGCTCAAAATCATAGGCTTGTTGAGTTCATTTACCATGTATTTAGATAATTAATTCTCATTGCATAATGTTTTAGTAGGTAAGTGGTTACCTAGCATTCATGTTACGTAAACCTTCAAAATTTCGGCTTACCATAGAGAAAAGTAGCATCCTCATAAGGGGCAGTACCAGCGTGGTAAGCAGCACCACCAGAGTAAGCAGCCGCACTATTACTCGCATATTGATGATGAGGCGTCATCGAGTGATCACTAGAACTGTTCGTACCGTAATTATTGTAGTAATTAGCGTCCGACGGATTATAAGATGGAGTGGAATGTTGACCGTACATACTACTAACGTCCATCATGATCATTGTTCAACAAAAATTTTATATAGTGCCACCGAAGACAATAACACACCTTATATCAGTCTCACATTGTACACTTCGAATAAGTCCCCATACGAGAAAAACAAAAGCACACTATTTTCAACCTTCTACCTGACATCAACCTCGCGCAACTAAACTATTACAACAAACAAAACTCAGCATTGTAGAGGCGAAAGGCCGATCCTCTGGGAGTGGCTATGTGACAGCCAGCTTTACATGTCTTAATGCGCAGCCCAATCGGAAACCGGCTCCGGAGTGGCAGCGGGATGTTTAAAACGCTATTGGTCAGCATCCAGCCATCATTGCAAGGCAACATTTCAATTCCAGCTGAAGGGCACAACTGTCAGCTACTGTGTGTGACATGACAGCTCAGCATGCAAGTTGTATACCGTGTATATTGTACGGAACCGGTGGCAGGCACTGCGAATTGACAGGCAAGAAGGGACTTTATTGTTGTTTAGGGATACTTATATGACAATGTAGATAACGTGTCTACTTTATATTATTGATCTAGGTATAGTTATAGTTGCAATTATGTACAAAGGCCAATTAGGCTGACATTATTGATAAAAATATATGATAAGACAATTATTATTTTACACTTTGGAATTGATTTATCTACTTTGCTTTTTCTGCATTCTCTACTTATCACATTAACATATTTTAATAACTTATAATCGAGTAGGCAATCTACTTAAAAAAGCCGTTAGAGATGCTCTAATTGTCGCGATTAAATGATAATGAAATTCTTTGTGCTGACTTTCATCGGCATATATTTTCATAATGCTAATTTATATGAAATGTCTACAGCCATTTCTAAATAAATCTGTAGATTAGATATTTTATCGGCAGCTGTCAACTGTCATGGAACAGGAAGTTAATAGCTTTGATTTGACACTGGGCCGGGCGCGCACAAAATATAGTTTTGCGGGAAATTCAAATAGGATTTTCAGTTTTTCTATTATAGGTACCTATACAAGTACTATTTTGTCATTTGATCTAAGCTATAATTTAAGATCTGACTCTGACTTAAATAGGTGTATCACATTTTAGATCAAAAAGCAAAGGCGCTACAAAAATGGCAACCATTTCTTATGTATTGTATAGGTATACTTAGGTACAAAAGAGAAATTGAATAGTGCAGAAGGAAGATAAATAATAATGAGAAGTAAAAGTTAGTGATGCAGCGAGACGAGACGAGAATACGCTCTGTCTTGTCTCAAAGATTCGAAAGAAAATGAGTCTCTCGTCTCGACGAGAAATCCTCGATACGACGTACTCTTCTCTCGTCTTGTGTCGTTTTCTCGCGTCTTGTGAGTTTTTACTCCCAGGTCAGGAAAATGCAAAAATGTATTCTCGCTCCTTACCTAAAATGTATACAAATAGGTACCTATGTAATATCATCCATATAATACCTAGGGTTCTGCAAAATATTGGACATTTGAAGTCCGTCGATTTTAATCTCATACTCCAAAAAAATGTGAGCTGGTGGTACCCTACATCAGAACGCCAATGGTTACCTGACGTCACTCCTGTTTTTGCCATATACTTTACTCCCTCGCTCCTCATGTCTATGCTCCTCATACGGAATGTGTCAGATTGAAATCGACGGACAATACGTAATTTTTTTTATTTTGAACCATATATGAAATTTTCACATTCCTTACTGGTTTGAAGGTTCGAAAATGTCAGTTTACTTTAAAGCAGCCTGAAAGTGACTGTCACTTTCGGTCTGGAGAACTCACTTTCGGCCCTGATAAATTGTCATTTCACACCTCAACACAAATCCAGGTGCAATGTTTGTATTTAGAAGTAGATGTCACTTGTGTTTGTATTGTTGAAATTTCATAAGATGTCAATGTCGGTGTCAGACTGTCAGTCGAAATTCCATTTTTGTCATATTTTTACCTTATTTTTTTTTAAAATAATTAATAGTTAAAAATAAAATAGTATACATATTTCGGTGGAAAGTTTTCGTATTATATTGTCTCGAGAATTGGTTGACCTCGGCGCTCCGCGCCTCGGTCAACCATAGTATCTTTCGACAATAATGAAACACTTTCCATCTCCGCATGTAATATACTATTGTTTTAAACCATATATGTAATTTTCTTATTGGTTTGAATTTGGTTTGAAGATTCGAAAATGTCACTTTACTCTTGTTTACTTTAAAGCAGGCTGAAAGTGACAGTTTTCCAGTCCCTTTCGGCCTGGATAACTTACTTTCGGCCCGTTAAATTGTTCTTTCACACCTAAACACAAATCCAGAAGCAATGTTTGTATTTAGAAGTAGATGTCACATGTGTTTATATTGTTAAAATTTCATAAGATCTCAATGTCGGTGTCAGAGTGTCAGTGGAAATTCCATTTTTGTCATATTTTTAAATTATTTTTATTCAATAATTAATGGTTCAAAATAAAATAGTATACATATTTCGATGGAAAGTTTCCACTTATTGTCTCGCGCTTCGCACCTCGGCCAACCATAGTATCTCTCGACAATAATGAAACATTTTCTACCTCCGCATGTAATATTCTATTTCGTTAATTGAATTTTTCGAATTTTCATAGATTTCAAGAGAGTGCTGTAGATCAGTCGCTATGGCACTTGCATTTGTCGAAATCAATGGAGAGCAGACTTCAATAAAGATAGAGAAAATAACTCTATATTCGTTAAAAAGTCCCAGCCAGTTCATTTTTGAAGAAAATTTGATTTGTTTTTCCTACAGAAGCAGAGGAGGAAAAAAAGCCTGAAAAAGAGCAGATATTCCAAGATTTTTTAATTTTAACACAAGATTGAAGTTTCTTTATTTTTCTTTGAATTATTGTTGAATTTTAAAGTCTCCATAGGTATTTCACTGTATCTTCTACCTATGTTTTATGAAAGAAGAACATTAAGGAGCTCCAAATTTTAACATTTGGAATATCAGTTAAAAGACTCCGAATTGCTGATTCAAAGAGTATCAACAATTAATCAAGAATATTATCGAAATTTTTCAAAATTTCTCACAAAACTGGAAAAACGAGAGAATTTCAAAATCGAATCTTACGGGTGCAAAATAGGTATTTGAAAAAATATAAAATCTAACCAACTGTAATAATGAAACATAATACCTATGAACTATTTTTTTTTACAAAAACAACCCAAAATTATTATTCAAACAAAATTCACTGGTGATAATCTGACGATTAGCTCTAAAACAAAATATTCATAAAACGGTTTTGATAAGGCTGCTGGTAGGTAATCCCTTAAAATCGACCGATGTCGCGTCATGTTAAGCCAGCCAAATGAAAAGGGGTGAAAATCTGCGGGTTAATCGCTCATAATCAGTACCGTGACTGCCAGCAATTAATGAACTTTAAAGGCAAAACTGACAGCTTACTTCGTGACGGAATGAAGATGTAGACAATCGACATCTTTAATGATACGTTGATGTGATAGTTTAATGGATTGAGATCGCGATTTATCTATCCTTAGATGAATTATTTTCAGCATTCATAATCAGCTGTTAAGGTTCAATTTTTCATTGTTGGTCTAATAGATTTGTCAGGGCCATAAATATGGAATACCAGACGTGTGCGTATCTTTGACAAGCTGACAACATAATCCATTTTCAAATACAAAGATCCGTACTAGCTACCTTATAAGACCCCTGTATTAAGATAACTTCAGTTTGTTTTCAATAGATATCCTTACAACATGTGATGTTTCTATAATATGCTAAAAAATACTTAATAATACCAGAATGAGAAGTTTAGTTTCTATTTTTATCTGTGACAATATCTTATCTATACATTATCTATAGATTATATATTTTTTTTTAACCCTGTATATGTACGGTCAAGCAAACAATATAGAGAAAATATTAGTACTTATGCATTACTTAGTTATTTCTATAATTATAATAGAAAGTTAACGGCTCGTATTTGCACTTTGCAGTTGAAAGTTGATGATGTGATAAAGTATGTTGATTTTCTCTATTTATGTCTAATAAATTCAAGTTGGCTTGATTTTATTCAAAAACTACCTACTCGCTCCTAGTAAAGATCACCTCCAGAGATTCAAAGTTTAGGGTAACTCCCAAGAGACGTTAAAAGTTGTTTGAGTGACAGAAATATCTTTGTAAGCGAAACTAGCAGAGGAAAACAAGAACAAGGTGGATGTCGCTTGTCAGCCCTTTTTACTCTCGATTTCGGCTATTGTTGGGTCGCTAGGGACCCGTCGTCCATCTTGCGTTCTATATTTTTCTGACATTCCTTTATATCGAAAGAAATATTTTCACTGATGGCTAGGCATACCTATATCAACTGAAAAACTTTACTACGACTTTGAGGTTTCCAAAAAAGTTGCTGAGAAAACTTTTAGGTGGGTACCCATGTTAATTCGTTTCAGTTTCTATAAATGTAACAACGGCAAAATCTTATATGATATGGGGAACAGTCATAGTAAGGTCAAAAAGTCGAATGAACACGCATTGAAATCAAATAGGCTCGCACAATTCGTTGTTCTCTATGTATTTTTATTCAATTTAGCTGCAACCTTGGGACCTTTCAGACCATTGTTGTCTAAACAAACTAAGAAACTATCAAAGTTTGACATCTATACTAGACATATTTCTTACCTGGGATTCAATTGAAGAGGCATTATTGCACTGAGGAGTCATGTCAAAGACAAGTCAACAATTTAGTTCATCATGCGGGTCTAGGAAACCTTTCCAATTTTTCTTAAAAGATTTTCCATCTCCTATCTAAATTTTGAGCTAAAAATTCAGTTGATGTCGATACTCTCCTTGATTTTCTCATAAAATTGTATCCATAAAGTCCTCTGTAGCCTAAAGTTTCAGATGCAATTGCAAGAACATTGTCTTTTTCTATTTTTAACCCTGCCATGTCTTCAAAACTGTCCAAAGCTTCAGATTTTGTTTCAGGCTTTCAAAAATTAATTGTAAATGATAATACGGTTCATAAAAAAGTAGGACAATGTTTTTAAATTGTCTTGGAACACCTGTTAAAGTACAATTTGTGAAAAAACAAGCATTAAGTATAGCCTAAAACAAACATAGCTTCCATCTGGACATGAATATTACATCATTTTGTTTCATTCGGAATCTGCTTCTTGAGATGATATAAAATATATTGCCATCGAATAAAAATCCCAATACGTTACCGTCTCTAAACCCTTCTGTTCCCAGTCACATGTCCAACTATGTCAGAGGCGCTTGATTAATGGCACGACCTGCTAATAACACCGACAAATAGACAGACGGATAGATGGATGAACGGACATCTTTATCGTATCATCTAATTAAATTAAGAAACTATATACGAATCGACGGGGGTCGATAGAAAGAAAATACAAACGAATACCATCATCCGTGGCACGATTTTTTTTTGAGGGAATTTCGGTCTTAGAATGTTACTCAT